ATAAATAAATAAATAAAAATAGGCCTTAGAAAAACAAAATGTCTTATTTTCCTTATTTAAAATGTGTCTTATTTTTCATAATCCTTTTGACATATGTAGACCATTTTATTTCACAGAGGAGGAAACTGAGGCTCAGAGAGGTGAATTTCTTTACCCAGAGTCATGTGGTGGTATGTGGTGGAGCTGTGATTTGAACCAAACTGAGTCTGACAGGTAACTTGGGTCAGAACCAAAGTGATGGATTAGAAGCCCACCCCCAAAAGATAAAAACAGGATTTGTGCTCCTTTTTGTGTGGCTTTGGACAAATCATTAATCCTCCTGAGCTTCAGCCTCTCATCTGCAAAAAGGAGACACTGCCTGAGTGTCTTGACATGGTTCTGAGAGGCAAGCGGGTAGGAATCCTTGTGTGTTAAGAACCTGCTATGAGAAAAAAGAAAAGAAAAGACAAATTACTCAGGAGGCTGAGGCAGGAAGATCATTGTGAGTTCGAGACCAGCCTGGGCTACAAAGTGAGCTTAAGGCCAACCTGAACTGCATAGTGAGACTCTGTTTCAAAAAAACAAAAACAAACAAACAAACAAAAACCTGTTATGAGGACCTGATTGGATTTGCAAGCCTTGTCTCAGTTCTGGATGGAATCAGAGTGGGGGATATAGCTCAGGGGCACAAGTGCCTGCTTGGCAAGTGCAAAGTCCTGAGTTCAATTCCCGATACCAAAAAAAAAAACAAAAACCCAAACTACAATGGATGGAATCAGAAGGAATTGTATCTCTTTAAAGTTCCCTTCCTGGTCACCTGGATTTTCTACACAAAAGTATCTCTTGTGAGGGAGATGGTGTCTTTTGCGTTTTAGGAGAGACGAAGCTCAGAGAGAAAGGGAGTGATGAGATTGGGAGAGAACTGAATCCAATTCTGCATCACCCTCACATCAGTGGCTCCACGGTCAGCTGCCCCGGGCTCAGACTCCCAGTTTGCTTTTTTTTTTTTTTTTTTAGGCAGGGTCTCACTTTGTTTTTCAGGCTGGCATTGAACTCACAGAATTCACGTGGATCCTCCTGCCTCAGCCTCCTGAGTGCTGGGATTACAGGTGTGTACCACCACACCATGCCCAACTGGAACGTTTTTTATATCTTGCACGGAGCCCCACCTCAGGCCTGAGTCCTGTGCCTGAAACTTGCTCAGCTGCTAGAAATTTGACTCCCCCTCACCCCAGTCACCTCTTGTCCCTGGAGATTGTCCCACCCTCTCCAGCCAGACTCTTTCCGATAAAATTATATTCTATAGGTGCCGATTGTGCTCTCAGGAGCACTGCTTGCCATTTGAAAACTGCTGGTATGTATCCTTCACAGCTTCGATTTCCTTAATTATAAAACAGGAATAGTAAATCATGTGATTTTTCAAATGGTGTAAGAATCTTGTGCAATAAAGAAGGAGAAAAGGCTTGGTGAATTTTTGTGTGTTTGTGTGTGTATATTGGGAATCGAACCCAGGACCCTGCACTTGCCAGGCAGACGCTGTGCCACTGAGCTATCTCCCCAGCAGGGGTTGGTGAATTTTGATGCAATACTTCTCTCAGGGGATTCCCTATTAAATGGTACCAAATTTTCACTAGCCCATGGCATTTTTGTACAGTCTACAAAAGGACTGTCACACTCAAAGGGCACAGGGACCTTCAGGGGAAAGGGTAATGAACCTAAACTATTACCTTAGTGATTTTACTTACCAAGAGCTCTGAGAGAGCTGATTGTGGCCACACACACCTGCAATCCCAGCTACTGAGGAGGTTGAGGCAGGGGAATTGAAAATTTAAGGCCAGGGCCGGGGATATAGCTTAGTGGCACACGTGCCTGCCTGGTAAGTGCAAGGTCCGGAGTTCGATTCCCGATACCCAAAGAACAAAGAAAGAAAATTTAAGACCAGTCTGGACAATTCAAGAAGACTGTGTCCAAAATAAAATAAAAAGTGCTGGGAATGTAACTCAGTGGTACGGCATTTGCGTACCATATGGCGTTTAATCTCTATTACTGCAAAGAAAAAAAAGAAAAAGAGCTATGAGGTCATTCATAGCATAAAAGCAATACTCTAACAACCTTTTACAGTATTATAAGGTGGCGGGTAGGGTACAAATTGCAGAAAGCAAGATCTCCAGAGACCCTTTCATTTTAGCATAACAATTGGTTGACTGCTTGGCTTTTGCCAGGCACTACTGGCAAAAAAAAAATCAGATCAAATTAAAATTTTAAGAGTTTATTGTGCTTACAAAAGAGCAGTCCATGAATCAGGGGACTGCAAACTGAAGTTGGCAAGATGTCTCCATTTATAGCAGTTATAGGCTGGCTTATAAAGTATCAGAGAGGAAGTATTTTGACCTTTTTCTAGATTGGCTGTCACATATTCTTTCTAAGGCAAACAGAGCTGTTTAAAGTGACTTGTCCGTAGCTGATTGGGTTAATTGTTAATTCTAACTAAAACTTTACGCGTTTTTTTTTTTTTTTTTTTTTTT